CGATGACTTACTTTCCTGTTAATTTGCTGAAATCTTTCTTGATAAACTGACTCACTTTTGGGGGTTTTAATGTACGGTCAAGTGAAAGGAAAGTCACATGTACCCAACAACAAACAAGTGTCACATATCTGCTTTGAGAAAAAAAACCCTTTTGATATCAATGTCTTTATTAGTTTTACAGTCAGTATTCCTCAGTTTTACATGATTTTGTACACACTGTATGCCCCTGTAGTAGATTTGTCTATAGTTTCATGTTTTATGTCAAGGAAGAGGTTGATAAGTTTTTTACAAAATGTTATTATTGAGTTATAAGTAATTTTGCTGTGAAAAACGATGTAAAACTAGGCTAATGTCTCGGAGAATTAACAAAGCTCAAAAATGCTTTGATGAAGCGCCACAGGTAGCAGGCTAGTTATTGAAAAATAGAGTTTTAGCAGAAGCAAATTGAGCTTTACAACAAAAAGAGCTCCTTAAACTCACCGCCTTTTGTTTTTGAGTAAGAATCTCCTTAAATGATTACAAGCTACACTCTCAGTCATCATTTTACGGCATTTTGTGTAAACTTGTGAGCTCCAGTCATGCTAATATTTAACTAACTAGCCTGACCACTACTGAAATCTGATGAGCTGCTTGGCTACACTTGGCTCCGATCTGCACTGTTATGTCCCTTTGGCGGAACCAACACACACTCACTCACACACACACTCAAACACACACGCACACACAGATCAGATAACATGGCCTCTTTGGCAGATATCACAGAGGTATATGTTTACAGGACATCTGTGCATCTACTGAAACTCAGCTGCTTCTTCATTTACGTGTTCGCGTTCCAGTGTTTCTTATTGACTTTCACTGAGCATTTGAACTGCAAATGAGAAAAGTGATTTAGACTGTTGCTCCAACTTCTGTGCCTTTAAATACAGTAAACATACAAGTTCTGTGTTAAAGTCACTGTCACTCTCCTGTGTTGCAGTATAAGGGACAGGCCAATCTGCATGTGTTTGAGGACTGGTGTGGCAGTTCAACGGCCGATCTTCGCAAAAACCTGCATTACCCGCTTTACCCTCATGTGAGTCAAAATGCCTAACTTTTCAGTTGTCACAGTCAAATGTAAACCTAGATTAGACAAACCTCAGAAGAGGAAACATTCACAAGAGCACAAGCACAGTTTACAAGGAATCATTAAACATATTGGCGGAAAAAAAAACATTTGTTAATAAAACTCGTTTTATAAATGGTTAGAATATGGTTATTCATTAATCTTGCTTAACTGATGATTTACATTTTTAGCCACTGTGGCCATTGTGTGACCAAAAACCACATAGCATTCCAGGCAGGCTAAAAATGGTAATTTGCAAAAACTGCACTAGGATGCTAACATGCCAAATGTAACAGGTGAACATAGTAAACATCATTCCTGCTATATATAATTATGTTAGTACTGAGTCCTTTCTCATTGTCATATTATACTGGTTTTGCAGAAAACTGCCCAGTATGTGTGATGTTATATTCCTAGTAAAACTTCATTAAAAAAAAACGGGTTTTTTTTTAAATTTCTTTCAAATTTTATGTGTAAAAGTATAAAAGTAGTAGAAGCATAGGCAGAAAATCGTCACCAGAGAATGCCACCAAACTCAGATAACCCATAGGTATCACCTCCTCTTGCATGTAAGTATTTGTGGTTGGATGTGAAAGAAGACACTCGTGCACACACTCTCACACACGCACAGTTGGTTTTACTCAGTGGTACATTATACGTCTTCATACATGCCAGATTGTCACGTTCCTGAGTTCATGCCATGGTCCAGATACCTCGGAAGTGATTTAATAAGTCACAGATACACAACAGTGGCAGTACAAATGAAGTTTTACAGTTTTACTACTGGATTTTACTACTTGGATTGTTAAGTTGGGGTTGGTTAGGCTGTTCCGAGTGTTAAAACCGAGGTAAGGGAGCGTTCCAGATTCAAAGTCGACTGGGAACTCAGAAATTCTGACTTATTCAGGAATGCACCATCACTTTGACATCAAATCATGGCTGATTTTCTTTGTCTTTCATTACTCCTTTAGTCCAGAACCACAGTGGAGAAGCTGGCCGTCTCTCCTCAGTGGACCAACTATGGGCTCAGAATATTTGGCTATCTTCATCCACATACTGATGGTACTTTTTCACTTTGTGTATTTTCAGCATGTAATACGCGTATGTTATGCTATACAGACTCAGTCTGTCTCTTCATTCCTTTATCTCATTTCCTCTTCGTTTGTCTCAGGAGATTTTGTGTTTGCTGTGAGCTCTGACGACAACTCTGAATTCTGGCTGAGCACAGATGACTCTCCCCTTAATTTGAAGTTAATTGCGTGGGTTGGAATGGTATGCATTTTGTCATCTCGAGTGTTCCGGGGTAAATTTCTCATACTAGTCTTTGTAACATTTCCTTCGGTGTTTAATTTTCATTTCCTAGACGGGAAAAGAATGGACGGCCCCGGGTGAGTTTGAGAAGTATTCCAGTCAGACCTCCAGTCCAGTTTGGTGAGTTGAAACCAATGACCGAGACTAACAATGAGCCCCTTCACACGCAGTGCATATTGACAAATCTATACATAACCTATGCATACTAACATTTCACACACAAACTGCTATCCATGAATATTTACAAACAAATGTAGAATCATAAAAGCCTGACTGTCTCAGAAAACTTAATTACAAATACTTGTATTATTACCACTGTTACTGACTATAATAATTATATAATACACTATTATTATTAGTAGGAGTAATAATAGTATACCTTACATGTTTTTATTATTTTACGTAGAAAAATAACACATGCAGCATGGTTAAAAAAAAACTAATCTAGCAGCTGCACTTTGTACAAGGTGAGAACAAGTTGGGAACGTACTTACATTGGTTGGTTTGACATCTTACACAAACAGTTCAAACTGATAAGAGTCTCAAAAGCATCACCACCAACTGCCAGGGTTTCTCATTTAACAAATAACGAACAAATGCTTTGAACTTGTGGAACTGACCTAACTGGAGAACAAGAACAACGCTTATCTAACTCTAAAGCATCTAAAGCATCGTTAGCAGTCAAAGACTTACGTTACTTTCTTTCCCCCCATCTGGTACCCTTACTGTTTTCCTGGGTGTCCTGATTCTTTCTCCTTATATTAACAAAGCAGTTCCCTCATAATAATAACTTTCTGTGTATGGAGCTTTTTAAAACACACAGTTACTTGTGAGCTTTAAATTCCGGATGAAATCCACACAGTATAAAGCACTAAAGCATCCAGCCTGATGGGCTGAGGAGAGACAATGTTGGAGGCTACAAGGTCAGAATTGTGGTATTCTCTGGACACACACAAAAAAGAAAACGATTGTGAACAGTCATAGGACCCTGACGCGCTGAAATATGTCTCAACAATTCTTCTATACTAAACAAGTTCAAAGCTATGCAAATTTTAAAATTAAAAGAAGGTAATTCTTTAGTGATTTCAGGTCTGGGGTCATATGTTCCTATTTCCACGTATGTGTAAGGACCCTGGGCTCTGCACTCAGAACAAGTTGAAGTCAACCTGATGATAAGAACCTGCATATAGAGCGTTAGAGTAGATTAACCTGTCTGACATGAATGTATTGACCAATTTGTCAGAGTCAGTTTTTAATAAATATTTTGCATGTTGCAGTGGGGAAGTAGCAGTTAGGGATTTGTTTGTGTACTGATTTTTCTGTGTATATTAAATGAGGCAGAAAGGTGAAATTTCAGCTCTTTCAAGTCACAAACATTTCTTTCAATTTAAAAAAAACAACTTGTTGTACTTGAGGATAAGAAATTAGGTTTGAGGCATCAAACCTGTTTCAAAAGCACAAATGACTCTTCTTAACAGTTGAATTATAATTAATGACATGCTGGAAAGCACACCCTTTTACACCCTGTGCGTATTAAATTAGTTGCTTTATTAAAGCAGTTTAGTGAGTTGCCATAGGAGTGGCGTGTATGCTCGTGCCAAGATATACAGAACCGGCCTAAATCCGCAAAAATGCAAATATTTAAATAATGTTAATGTCTACTCATAGTTTTATATATATATATAAAGGGTTTATGTATCAGGATAATAAAAAAAATTATCTAGACCTTATCTGTTCTGAAGAGGTAAATACAACCTGAGATTAAAAAAACAGCACATGACATGTGTCATTATTTATTTAAGAAAGGTTCATCCAAGGGTACAGGAAGATGGAAGTGTAGAAGTGAGCTTCTCATAGCTGAATTTGCGAAAATACCTCCTGTAAATGTAAACTTCCACATTTTTCCTTTGATTTCAATTAAATAATTATTGAACATGTGTAACCTCTGTTTTTCATCTGAGGTTGTACTTACCTAATTTTAAGACCTATTAAGGACAGTATGGTTTTATTATGTCCTGATATGTAAAAACATTACCATGACTGCATATATTGAAGTCATAAATAATTTATTATGTACATTCAGCAAATAAGGCTTTGAGATTATCTTTGGGTAAGTAGTTTATATTGTCTTTTTTATGACTATAACATGATACTGAGTACCTTTACTGTCTGACAGGCTGTCTGCTCAGAGGAAATACTTTTTTGAAGTTATTCACAAGCAAAACGACGAAGGGACTGACCACGTGGAGGTGGCAGTAAGTAGCTGGATCCCTCTCTGTTTTCTTATCTCATTCCTTCTTTCCAAACTCCCGCGCCAAGTATGCGCTCTTGTATTATGTGAGTAATAAAGTGGAAAAGATGTGCAGTTTTTAAAGTTTGTTTTGTTTTCACACAGTGGCTGCAATTGGACTATAGCAGTCTGTTTAAGGTTATTGACTCCAAGTACATCTCCCTCTATACTAGTGAGTACACACATCATGCCTCAAAATATATCCCTCGGAATGAATGTTCATGAGTCTAGATCACAATGAAACATTTGCCCTTTATTCTGCAAAGATGCTAAAAAGCACAGTAAGTAAAAAGCTTGCATCTTCTTCTGACGCTCCGTGTCTCCAGATGAGTCAGCACTGTCAATGAATGATGTTGCCCACATACCACAGACAGCTGCGAGCCACCGGCAAACCCCCACAAAGCAGCGCAGTGCTGATGCAGATATGTTAATTGAAGACCGTCGAGATTCATTCTACAAAGGTCAGCTACGTCGCTCGATTGTTTCAACACAAAGCAGACACATCAGCTGTCTGTTTCCTACCATCCCGGATGCAAGTATTGTGCAAGTTATTTCCTCTTACTGAATGCACAAAGTAATCTCGCCTCTTATCTGTTTCGCTTTTTTGCAGTGCGCATGTTAAACAGCAAGTACCTACAAGGTGTTCTGCCTGACTGCTCATATAACCCCTCTTACACAATCAAAGACTTCCCTTTGCTTCGTTATCAAGGACTGCAGTTTGTACGTATTTGTTGTACTGATAATTTGTCTACGTCACTTACACTACTTTTCTGATATTTAATCGCCGTATACCATTATTCTCAGAAGGTTACATCTTTTGTTTGTTCAAGAGATAAAGAAAGGCATGCCAGCAAGAAACGCTGGGAAGCTTTTTCAATCTTTTATGGCTTTTATGTCAGTCTTCTAATGGTATCCCTGGTATACTGAGTTATGCTATCTATTTGAGGCCTTTAAATTGCACCCACATTCTTAATGTCTTCCGAGGACCATATAAAAGAAATTAGTGCTAATTGCATCCATTAGGAAGAAAAAAACCCAGTAAAATAGCTTGAGATTTTTCTCGTATTGATTTTACTACTGTTGCTGAAGTCGAGTTCTTTGCAGTGACTTCCTGGAATCTCTAATGGTTGCCTCCAGGACGTCATTTACTGGCCAAGAAATAGTCTTTAATCTCTCATTCACGCTTCAGCTGAAATGCGTTAGTGAGATTTGGAAGAGCTCTAAAGTAAATGTTTTTTAATCTTTAAAGAAAGCCACTGGTAGCTTTACCTTCTCTTTGTTTCCAGTCTGCTGAGTTAAATTGTACCTTTATATTTACCAAATAGATTTCTTTTTATCCAACTTTCAATACAAAGGACAATAATTACATACCTCAAAATATTCAACTTTTTTCAATAAGATGTCATATATTTTACACCATGTCATTTCATTTCATATCCTCAGGTCCACTTGTCCTACATCTACCCCAATGACTACACTCGACTAACACACATGGAGACGCAGACCAGCTGTTTCTACTCTGAGAGCTCTTACTACCTAAAGAGGTGAGCTAATTGTTACAAATATGTTTACTGTCCCACTCAACTCAACTTAAGTTGGTGTTAAATCCAGAGAAATCCAAGGTTACGTTATTCTTAAATGGCAAAGAATTGTTAGCTACGTCTCCTAAGATTAAAACAATTCAAGGAACTGAAATTGAAATGGTCACATCTTACAAGTATCTAGGGATCATTATAGATCAGAATTTGTCATTTAAAACTCACATTCAAAGGCTTGTGTCTAAGTTAAAACTAAAATTAAGTTACTTTTTTAGAAATCAATCCTGTTTCTCCCTGCAAGTGAGAAAACACTTGATTCATGCAACTTTTACCTTTATTGGATTACGGTGACCTGCTTTTTATGAATGCACCTGCCCACTACCTAAAGAGGTTGGATACTGTCTACCATTGTGCTTTACGTTTTATTACTGGCTATGGAAATCGTGTACATCATTATTCTTTGTATGCTGCTGCTAAATGTCCATCTTTGTATATTCACAGACTTTCCCATTAGTTGGTCTTTATCTATAAATCTCTCCTTGGGCTGGTTCCCTCTTATTTATGTGTTTATATGTGTAAAAACCACAACCAGTACAGCCTTCATTCTCACAATATCATACAATTGATTGTCCCAGAAATCAGAACAGAATTGGGGAAAAAGGCTTTTAAATACGCTGCCCCTGCTTCCTGGAATAATCAGCAGAAGTAACTGAAATTATCAGAATTGGTTACCTTGGAGGAGTTTAAGTCCATCTTAAAGGAACGAGAGAATAATTCTTTTACTCAGTGTGATTGATTTTAATGTCGCTCCTAATTTGATCTATATCTATATTTTTCACAGGTTTGTACAGGATATTGTGTTTGTTTAAAATGTTATATACTTATGTGGTACATGTATTTTGACTTTTGTTGTCATGATGTCTCTCTTGGAAATGAGAATTTTCATCTCAATGGGATTTTCTACCTGGATAAATAAAGGACTAATAACAATAATGCTGGAAAAGTGTGTCAAGTTGAACTATAATTAGTTTTAGAGTATCACCAAGTAAGGCTGCTAAAACTTCTGTCCTTTTTTCTTTTTTTAAATTGCATATCTAGGTTCGGCTTCTCTAGATACATGAGATTTGACCGTCCAGCTACAGAGGAAAAAGTAAATGCAGACCGAGGTATTTCGCCCTTGTTTTTCCCCATAAGTAAATATAAGCTGCTTGCGGTTTCAGTCCATTTAACTCTCCTTTTTTATATCTGGTGTATATCAGATTTTAATTTCCAGATGAGGAATTTTAACCAGGAGGACAATGACTTTCATAAAAAAGAAATGGAAACCAAGCCTGCTCATGAGGATAAAGCAAATCATCAAGACTATGGAGATGATTATGATGATTATGTACAAAAACGTAGGCGCAAACTCTTCTCCTTGGTTGTCCCAAAATCAAACAACACATTGGGCAACTCTTCAGGACTGCACAGAGGCGGGTTGGGGAAGAGGCAACATAAAGAAAATTTGTCTCAGCCCCAGTCAGTGCTAAAGCAAGGCTTAAAACATAACCTGCAACTGAATCAGACAAAGTTACAAAAAGAGGAGGGGCAAGTTGTAAAAGCAGAACAGCAGAAAAGCAGAAAACGAGTAAAAAGAAAAAGGGTAAAACCAGTTCAGAGACCAGGACAGAATAATCTACCAATACTGGATAATAAAAAAGACCTTAAAGCAAATCAGCAACCAGTTGTCCAATCAGAGCAACTTGGTTCTAAACAGGATCAAATCCAGAAATTTGGTAAAATGAATAATACCGAAATCCAGCAACTCAACAACTCACAGCCTGAAAAACCACCAGTGGCCAAGCAGCGGAGGTTTGTAACCAAACAGAAGGAACTTCAGCTGCCAAACAGCAAGCGTTTTACCCCTCCCAAAAGAGATTTCAACCACCCATTAAAAAGATCAAATCAAAGGGACTTGGATGGCAAAACAAGCCCCAATGATAAGGATATGGAGCTGAATATGCCACAACAACAAGATTTAGAAAACAGCATTGTTAGAGGTAAGAAGATTGCTAAAGGGAATATTGACAAAAGGTGGTCGGATGGGAAAGAAGGGGAGGAAGATGAGCTCTCCAACAGGGCTGAGAAAAGGAAAGACACCACAGAGGGTGAGAAACGCTACTTCTGGGAAAGACGAGAAGACTTTGAAGGTACTGATGATGAAGATCTTACACCTGCACCGGTTTTTGACACTCAAGTCAACTGGAACCAGACCTTCCATGTCAACCACCTGGATCTTCAGGCCCAGCGTTCAGATTGGATCGACCTGCAGTGCAACATTTCTGGAAACTTGTTGCTTCACTCCAATGATGCTTTGCCAATAGTCAAGACGTTCATGGACCAACTGAATAAAAAGCATCATGGGTAAGTTGTGCATCTAGTGATGTGTGTGTGTGGAAAATGTTAATCTGATTGGATTTTGCTATATCCTCTAGAATATGTTAAAAGAAGTATTTTAGGTGATTTTAACTTTTCTGATCTTGAAAGTCAGTGGTTAATTTATGTATGCCTCCTCAGGTTTTTTTTTAATTGCTTCATTTGCTACTATATTTTTAAATCTAGAACTTGCCTAAATACATTGAGCTGCTTTCATATGATTAGCTGCTTAGATGTATGCATTAACCAGCAGTTGGACAGGGCTATGTAATAACGTGGCTGTTGATTGTAGTATGCAAAAATATTACACTGACAAGAGCCACTTTGTAGCAGGATCAGAACGTTTGCTACTTTTTTAGTAGTTATTTTATACTTGGTTTAGTAAATTAAGTTTTTCGGATTAATTGTAACAAGTCAACGTATGATATAAGACTCTTATTGTAAGCTCATGCCATTTTCAATTAGGTGATAAAATATTCAAAAACCTTTGTACTTCCTTTACAGCACATTGCACTTTTATTTTTGTGGTTGCTCTTGCAGGCGGTTTAAGTTGGTACGTGTGGTTAACATGGTGAAGCGTGTGGATGACTTCCAGGGCAGCCGCTACCTTCTTGAACTGGAACTGAAAGATGTGAATGGCCAGCTGCTGCGTCTATCACACTACATCTATGCTCTGGTTACCGATAGCTGGTCCAACGGCTGGGACTCAGACTTCCAACAGTCAAAACCAAAGACTTTGCTCTGCAACCCGGTGGGCTTCCGCTGGAATCCTGTTGCCATGGTCCACTTCATAGTGCCAGGTACTGTACACCTGACACTTACTTGGTGATTACACATAAAATCAGCCAAATCTGAAAAAAGTTCCCACACGACCTGCTCAAAATCAACTGATTTGCATGTTCAGTTTCTTGTTTGTTAATATTTTATTTTTCAAAGATAGAAGTTCTTACAGCCCGACAGTGTCATATTAAAAACATGGTGAGATGTAAGTGGACCTTTTTAGAGGAAAAAGAAAACCCTTCAGTGGGATTAAATAATGGCTCCATGTCTCTAAAATATGCAGAAATAAAGGATAATCTCTCTGAGACAAGGTCCTTAAATGTAGTAAAATGTAAAACTCTTATCACCTGAAGACAGAAATTGAATCACATTATGAATTCAGCATAATATAATATTAATGTAAAGTTGGCAGTAATGCATTAATACTGGTATGTAAAGCACATAACAGAGCTTCCCTTTATTAATGCAGTTTAACTGTCGAGCACCGCATGGGCATGGCAAGCCTGTTATTATACTGTCTGTGGGAATGACCTGTGTTCCCTTTGAGAATTAATAGCTTTAAAAAAATGCAAAGGTCAAAACACGTCTGCCAAATAAAAGATAGAGATAAGTCACTTATCTGTCATATAATTGGCCTGTATGTCTTTTTCAGTAAAAAACCAGGCTAGATGGGTGCAGCAGCTGATTACTGACATGGAGGAACTGTTCAAAATAACTGGAGATAGTAACTTCAACCTCATAATCACAGACTACAAAAGCACTGACATGGATGTGAGGAAGGCTCTTGAGAAGTCCTCACTGCCCAGGTTTGTGTTTGTGAGTTAATTTTACAGGCAATACAAGCCTATTGCAAACTATTCATGGTCTAACTGAGCTGTATGTATGCTTGTGGAAATGATCAGGTACCAGTATGTGAAGATGGATGGGAACTTTGAGCGCTCTGCTGGTCTGCAAGCAGGTATCGACCTGATAACTGTGAGTACTGCGGCATCGCTCGGCAGGGAAGCATAAAACTGTACCGATAGATGTCAATAGTAAATTTCATGAATTGAATGTTTCCCATCTCGCTGTTCCTTAGGATGACCACAGCATTGTGTTTCTTTGCGACCTCCACATCCACTTCCCTCCTTCGATCATTGATACCATCAGGATGCACTGTGTAGAGGGATACATGGCCTTTGCTCCCATTGTCATGAGGCTGGGCTGTGGTAATACACCTTTAGAGGCCAGAGGTGGGAAATGGGACCAGATTCACTTCCTTTTGTTTTTTTTGTTTTTTAGCCACTAAAATGACAGGTATTTATGTCTTTGGCTATGTGATTGTCTGCGTTGTAGGTTACTGGGAGATCAATGGCTTTGGCTTGCTGGGTATCTATAAGTCAGATCTTGACACAGTGGGAGGTATGAACACCAAGGAATTTACTGATCGCTGGGGAGGAGAAGACTGGGAGCTTCTCGACAGGTTTGTCTCACACTTTCTAACTTTTCTAAATGGATAGATATGTTTAGAGTTTTTCCATCCATTTCATCCATTGAAAGAAATTAGATAGCGATACTTGGAAGCAATACACCATCCAAGTAAGAAGCAGACTGGTTAACCCTTTAAAGCCGGTCGGAGCGGGCACGCTCTGTTTTGCGTAACTATTTTTAAATCCCGGTAGCACTGCAACCATGTAAGCTAGCGCAAAATGTTTTTTGCATATGAAACCGGAGGACTTGTACTTACATCTTATGCCATCAACTTGTCCTAGGTGACGGTTTCCTTCCACATATAGCTTTGCAAAAACTGCATAAAAAGCACTTGCAGCAACACAAACATAATATTCCAGAAACATGCTTTGCCGATCCGATCAGCTGTTTGTAACACTTCCTATGTTGGAATAGATGTCAGCGCAAACTTTCACATGTCCGCCATGACCTGCCCAAAACCGGAAGTGACATCATTTTCGCGGAAATGTAGTATATTTACCATCAGGGCCTCATGAGCCTATACTGGTGTTTTTAAAAGTTATCTTTGACTTTATGACTTTCTGTGTCGTTTCTGGGATGCTTAGGACTCATATTGCACTGCTGGAAATAGTTTATTTTGATGCATATGCTGCTTTTTTGCAAATTTGCATTATAATATTTATCTTTGTTTTTCCTGCAGTATATAAAAATTTGTGTATTTCAAAAATAAAACTATGAAGACACTCAAAATAAATTTCCTGTAGTGGGAAACTATTTTGTGCAACTTTTTTGTGTTTACAGTTTTGAGGGATAAGCCTCTTAAATTTCTCTAACTAGAAATATATGTTAAAAAAACAAAAACGATTTTCAATTTTTTTGTAGTTTATTGCACTTTTTTGCAATTTATGTAATTACTATGCACTTAATGCATACATATTATTAGAATCTGGGTTATAATGGTTGTATTGATGTATAGCAACTTGAAATGCTCCCAAAAATGGCACTACAGCATGTAAAAATATAATATAAGCTCTGGCGGACTTGGTTCTATGGTAGGTCTTAAAGGGTTAAAAGGTTGCTGGTAAAGGCAAAGAACAGATGGACATACTCTCAAAAAATGTTTGATTTATTAGTGCAAGGTTTTTTTTCAGCCAATCATGATTTGTGTCTAAGAAATGCCAACAAAGCATGTTGGAGCTCTGAACTGGCGAAAAATCGTTTCTTTCCTGTTTGTGATCCAGGTTGAGTAAACACTCTATCCTCTTGTTTTCTCATCTAGAATCCTTGAGGCAGGTCTGGAAGTGGAGAGGATCTACTTGAGGAACTTTTTCCACCACTATCACTCCAAACGTGGCATGTGGAACCGGCGAATGTCAACAAGTCCCAGGTGACCTTGTCACCTGCATTTGCACAATGACATCACCACGGTTACAACCAAGGCAACGCGAGCACTTTAAAGCCGGAGGGTGATTCCTGCTATGTAACGGTAATACCTGCTGACGGTTAGAGAGAGTAGCACATGAGCCGGTGCTGTATTTGCTCACTCAGGCTTTGGGAAGCAGGTGGCAGCGCTGAAGGTCATTGCTTAGGAGATACTACTGATATGCTCAGAGTTTATTTCATTGAATATGCTGTGGACTCCAAAGAGGGTACTGGCTACTGAGTGCCAGTGACTATAAAATTCAATGTATGAGGATACCGCCGTGCATAATGTTGCTGACCAAGATCATGATCTGCACTACTGGCAGGAAGAACATTTCCTAATCTGAAGACAAAGCTGGATTCCATATATGTAAGCTCACAAGTGTCCCTTATTCTAAACATCACTCTTGCACATAGGTCTTAACTAGTGGGAGGGGGGGATTTTATTTTCTTTGTGTCCCAAATTTTTTTTTTTTTACTGTAGATTGTTTATATGATAAAAACACAGCCTTACTTGTCTTGTTGTAAATTAGAGAAAGCATTTTATTTATTGAATAAATATTTGTGGTGTTCTTTTTTTTCCCCTTTTATATTTAATGCTAGAAATGTTGAACTTACCTCAGTGCTCTTTCCTGTTTGTTCTCATTATGTTTAAGTGTCCTTACTCTGCTGTGACTCGGAGTAATGAGAACTGTTTTACAGGCAAATCCGAAAAAGCCTTAAACTGAAAATAATAAATTAACGTCAAGGTGATGTTTAATTGTAGCATTAAGTTGTTTTTAAGGAATAAAAAAATAATGGCTTTAATTTAGACAGATTGGTTTTTGTCAATGCACAGGCAATTAATGACCATATCATATCCACTGTGGAAGTACATTTTCCATTTTTGCCAGTTCTCCTTACACTGCCACTTACCAAAAATAACAAAAATAACCTTTAATCATAGCATTAAGTGCTGTGTTTGATGGTCTCTTTGCTCTACTTTTTTCATCAATGGATCATGCTTCTGCTTTCTGTGTTGGGGTTGTTTTGTTTCTTCTTCTTTTTTTTTTTGGCTCCCTGCCTTAAGTTGTCATTTCTGACAGCAGAGAAATTCCTCAAAATGTGATTAATGAGTGAAAATTTGTTGCATTGTTATGTTGTTATTTAATGTTGGAGTAATGGCAACATTTTCTCATTAACATTCCATGTCAGCAAATGAGTTGTCTTTTAGCGTAACCTTGTCATTCAGGGCAATGAAGACAGAAGACGAGTTGAAAGTGACATTTATAATTTATAACACTGCTAAGAGTAGTGTGTTGTGTTTGTTTTTTGGTTTTTCCTTTTACGAGCATTGACTCTTTCTAAATTTGTTTTGTGAGTTTGCTGGAATAATGGATACTTCCCCCTTTCCTCCTTTACACTCCTTCACATGACTTAAAGTGCTCTTGGTTCACTTTTAAAATACCTCAGCACTGTCTTTATGCTGGAATAGGTTCTCCATTAATGTTCTGAAGCGTTTTCTCTCAGGGACAGGTTATTCCATGTTACACTGCCTTGACAAATCTGGCAAATAAAGTTCTCTTAAATGTGTTCATTTGATTATCGTGTTGTTTTACATAGCTGATATATACTGAGGTATACTGTGGCCTTGTACCTCAGTTGAGCACTCAAAGAACTTTTTACTGGAAGCTTGATTCACCCAGGCACACTTATTCATATAGCACTTTTATCTGCCTAAGAGTTTTCCTAACATTCCCACACACACTCATATAGGTGCATCAGAATAGTCTCTGAGTTTAGTGTCTTGCCAAAGGATACTTCAACATGTAGGCTGTAGAAATTTGGGATCAAACCATCAACTTTCCAACTAGAAGATAACCTGCTCTGCTTCTTCAGCCACAACTGCCTCAGGATGCAAGTAATGAACTGAGACAACTTTTAATTAAAAAAAAGAGAGGTATTCTAGTTATTGATTAAATTACCTTTGGAGAGAAACAAGCTTTATAGGTGCATCATCACTGTATTCCTCCTTGGTACATCTCTGCACATTTTCACATTACTCTTGATGGATTTCAATTTACAGTTCTTAAAGTTATATCTTTGATCTAATTGGTAAGTAGTAATTATTCTTAAACTCATTCAGATAAACTTGAAAGACATTTGTGTTCTGCCAGTCGGCAATCTTATCAGCCAATCTAATGAATTTAGGCATAGTTAACTAGCTAAAGTTAAAACCTGGTGAAGGATGGGACTTGTTCATCTACACAAAATTTCCATCTCTATCTCTAGGGTTTACAGACAATGGTATGAAAAATATAAACTATCCAGTGAACAGTAGTTCTCTAGGTGGAAATCCCTTCTTGATGTCAGGGGTGACATGAGAATAGTCAGGGTGCGTCGATCTGACAGGTAGGCAAATGTAGCTCAAATAACCACTCATCACAACCAAGGTATGCAGAAAACGTGTCCTGCTTTTTTTTCCTCAAAGGCACAACATGTCAAACCTTAAAACAGCAGAAGACTGCAACGGGTGTCACTTCCTGTCAGATCGAAACAGGAAACTGTGGCTACAGTTGACACAGGCGGATCAAAATTAGACAACAGAAGACTATAAAAACATTACCTGGTCTGACAAGTCGTAATTTAATTCATGCATGTGAATTAAATCCTGCCTTGTATCAACAGTTCAGGCTGCTGTAGGTGGTGAGATGTTATGGGAGTTCTTTTCTTAGCACACTTTGGGCCCCTTTTCATCTAAGCATTGTTTAAATGCCACAGCCTACCTGAGTATTGTTGCTAATAATGTCCATCCTTTATGACCACACTGTACCAATCTTCTGCTTATTTCAATCAGAATAGAATATCATGTTACAAATCTCAAATAATCTCAAACTAGCTTTTTGTACATGACAATGAGTTCACTGTACTCAAATCCAATTCAAATTTTATTTGTCACATACACGGTCATACACGGTCATACACAGTACGATATGCAGTGAAATGCTTAGACAACTGCTCGTGACCTAAAATAAAAGACTACAAATAGGATAGGAAATAAATAGGGTACTGTCGTTGCTACTGTCACCAAATTTCAGTCCAACGGAGCACCTTTGGGGTATTCGCATTATAGATATACAGCTGACAAATCTGCAGAAACTTTGGGCCAAAACCTCTGATTTGGGCATTAGGTACATGTCTATACATACATCTATACATCCTGATTCTTGTAAAAGTAAAAATCGAGACTAGCAGGCCAGTTTCTGTGATTTTCTTATTCTTGAGGCTAGACTGATATTTCTGGGTTATGGCAGATTATTTCACAGCTCATATAAACAGAAGCTGTACTATTGTAGTGCATATAGGCCACTGTTATACTAAATGAAATAACTTCACACAGTAAAAATAGCATTGTCAGTCATACACAAATTCTTTCCATCACCCTTAGAGTCATTAAAGCCTGCTGACTCCATCCACAACACCCTTGATTATTCAACCCCCTGTCTTGCTGACAGTGTTTGACACTAGTTCAAGGACAAGTATCAGTATGTGTGACAATATTTGCTGTTTTTAACCGGAGAGGAATTCATTCCATAGAAGAAGAAAGGCTAAGTATATCCTTGCTCTAAATATCTCAGGTGGCACTGCAAGTTTATGGCATTCCTTAGTGGAGACAGAAGAAATACAGCTCCATTACCGTGTACAAGGACAATGCCAAGCAATGTAAATCTGCTGCACTCACAAATGAAATACAGTATTATCACCATATGATAATATGCCTAAAATCTAAATCCAACCAATCCAGTTGTCCATGGAGTATATCTTATTGTAATGGTCAAGCTCTGAACTTCATCATGTATTAGTCTCCACTAGTAATTTATGAATTCATTTATTTTTAGGTTTGTAATTTTCAGTTTTTGACTATCCCATTTTATTTTTGACTCATTTTAGTTTTATTTTATAAATGTTACGTTAAATTTTGGTGAATTTTTTTTCACTTTCAATTAAAGTTCTTTCATTAAATCTTCCTCCATCCATCCTGCAGCGTCAGCGCATGAAGGAATTTGTTCACTGGGCCCCACCAGCAGCATCAAACATCTTCTTCCTGCCCTGCATACCAGACATGGCCTCCACATTTTTACGCCAGTCACCCACCTCCATCGTCAGCTCCTAAAGTAAAGCCGCATTCAGACCATCAGATTCTGCAGTTTTATTCGGCTGCTTATTTGAATATAACTAGATACCAATTATGTGTGTTGCTAGAGCAAACCTTCTCTTGTTTGATGTCTTCTTTCTTTACAGACTTGAGATTGGCCCTCAGATCCATGGAGCCCTTAGTTTTCGATCCAAACAGAGCTTTCAACATCTCATCTGCTGACACTCTCACCTTCCTGAGAGCTGGTTTCTTAAACTTTCCTCCAAGGTCCTGTACCTTTAGCTTCAACTCGTTGATCTAGTGATAGAGGGAAAAGCTTTATTGGTGGCTTATTTTTAAAGAGGAAAAAAAAGCGTGTCAATATATTTTAGTTTAACAAGGTGTGTTATGATGTTTGCTGAGCTCATACATCTCTGTAGTTCTTGTGAACCTTTGCTTCACAGTCATAGCGATCCTCGTCCACCACATGAATCTTTTCATGAATCTCCTTACAGACTTTCTACACAGAAAAAAATAAGTTTCAATTCATGACACTTGATTGGCTTTAAAAACACTGTCAAGCCCATATGCTTACTCAGAGTATCATAAGCTCACACCTGCAGATCATCAATGTTTAACCCACTGAGCTGCAGCGGTGGAAGCTTCTCCCTCAGGTATCGAACCTTCTGTTCCTCATTTGCAGTTTTCTCTGCCTCCAAGTCTTCCGTTGCACGAGTCAGCAGAAGGATCTCGAAAAAGTCAAATGAGAACTTTTCTCATAATAACATTCTATTTATTATATATTCAGAAGTTATTATGGCTCGTGCATTTTGGCCATCATTATAAATTATTTACCTTTAGTGATAGCTTGCGTGACGCAGAAATCTTGCATTTAGGCTGGAAACAATACAAATATTGCATATTATTGATGACTTGACATGCCACATTGCTCAATTAAGTGCCTAACTCCTTTAAAACAGCAGCAGGATGGAAAATTTTCTATCTGCAGTTATCAATATGAGTCTAAAATAGGTACCTTTAACAAACACAAGAGCGTATATGGTATTCTGACATCAGTTATAAGCTCATCAACCATATAAACGATTACCTTTTTTTTCTATAATGAGAAACTAAATGTCAGATCATATCAAATAAAACTGACATAAATATATCACAATGACACTGAAATTATTTCTTTTTTCTGCTGCATGAAAGTATACAGTCTGCAAATATAAAAACACATTCTTGACAGGTTAGAAATATAAGACTTAATTTAATAATCATATGATAATATAAAAATATAAATACCTTCGCCTCTCCCTTGGGGGCAGTGGATGATGTATACTGAGGAGAAAGGGATGCACAAGAAATTCTAACTATGTTAAACACAAATCTGTATAATTGTTAGCTAAGAAAGCATATGGTCATGCAGGCTGCAACTTACACCGCTGTGCGTGCCCAATTTGTTGTTCAGCAAAATCAAAGATGCACAAACCAAAAAAAGGCATGAGATTATTATTCTCATATGAAAGAGTATCCGACTTCATAGGCCATTTAAATAAGAATAAAAAAGTGACAACTTACTCGCCAGACATTGTTTTTCCTTTACACAATTTGGATGCTATTAAATTTGAAAATGGACAGAAAGAAAGAAAAAAAGAAAGAAAGAAAGAAAGAAAGAAAGAAAGAAAGAAACTATGACGCCTAATTGAAGTTTTCACTTCTCACGTCAGGAACGAGTCACTTTACAAGCGAGAAACAGCAGCGCCTGCATTTTATAAGTCAGACCCGTAGATCGAAGATCGTCTATTGTGACGAATAAATCTCCCCTTTTCTTCTTTTTGTTTTAGAACTTAGAGGTTTCTCACCAAGATACAAATTCAGCACTTTATTTTTGGCCACCTAGCTAAAAACAAAACAAACAAAAAAAACTGTTAAGATAAGACTCTACATAAAAATAAAATAATAAAAGAGATAAATATTCGTGGTCCTCAGAAAAAAACGACACAGTGAGATTTCTTTGTTTTTTCTAACAGCTGATCTCGTGACGCCTCCCGGGCCCTCAGTGAGAAATTATACTGTCACTGCAAAAATTAAAACCTTTCGCTTTTGGATATGAGCCAGACTGATGTTTATAATGCTCTCTGTTTTGTTTCTCTTTTATATTTTTTGGCAAAGGGAGGAAGACTGAGTGAGGAGCGTTTACACCGTGAAATGCGTGACTTTCTGTGGTCGTTGGTAGCTTTCATCTTCATATTTGTGGTACAGTGATAGCATCTCCAGAGAGGTTTACAGTGCGTCGGTATTATAATGTTATTTATTAAAGGCAAAAGGTTCCTGGCCTACCAATAAACCAAAAGGATTTCCACCTACTAAAGCATACTATTAGGTCTCTGGAATAAGAACCAGAATCTGATCTGAATGAAAAATACAATATTCTTCATTGTGTGAATTCTGCACAACTATGAAACTGTATTCTTCAGGGTAAGATGTATGCATAGTTTAAATGCCCTTTATTCTTGTGCACACTAAAAACTTGGTGCCCCTTCTCCAACTATTTCAGCTATCCACACAATGTGTTAAACCCGCTCAGACATTAACACATGGTCAGATTAACCTGTTAGTGGCCCATGGGTGCAGAGAACAGAGTTCCCAGTACATAACTATTTTTTGTTTTGTTTTGCTTTTTTGTATTGCTCAATAATAAGGTTTTATGTTAAGTGGTTAAAGTTTTTTTTTTTTATTAAGTGATCAACTGTCAAGATCACTGTCACCAAACGTTTTGGACATCAACACATCATGATTCAATAAGTAAATGTGATGCAATTGAAATATGTAAAATCAAAGGTTTATTTATTCAAATAAATGTAATTGAACCTGATTCAATTAAATTCAATGTTTTACATTGTGCTCATGTAACAAAATTACAGTGAAATGTTATATGTAATCAGGTTACTTATATAAAGTCAGAATTTATGGGGAAAATATCTTTTGAATGTAAGATAAAATGAGAAGTTGATGAGATTTTATCAACAAAAAGGTGTCAAAGTTCATAAAGTTCTACAAAAGATTTCTGGCCACTATTCAACCCAAAAGTCAAAATATGAAAGAGGTGTGACCACAACATATTAAATTCCTTACTATATTTATATATATGTACTTAATCCTTACTAGATATGGTATCTGAGTCTAGACAGATAGAGATAAAACAGCAAGGCAGTAATTCATATAGAAAAGAAAAGAATAGAATAGAATAGCCCTTTACAACAAAGTTGTGTGTGCTCAACGCCAACTGTGCCAGCTCTGCAGGAATAGAATATAAACAAATCGCAACCCAAACTGCATATTTGTGTTGCAGTTGGTTAGACATAATTTCATAAGCAGTATGTCCAGACTATATAAATTAATTATGATTTAAAATGATAACTGTGAAACTGTGCTCTTCCATTATACATGACTTATAATAAATGTTGAGAGGTTCCACTAAAAAACACAAGTACCCACTTTGTTGTGTTGGAGAAATAATAAGGGCACTATCAAACCCTGCAGGACTTTTCTTCTTTGAGCCATGAATGTTAGAAGGAGCCATGAACCTAGTGAACCATAGCTCCTGTCTTCTGGTGACCTTGTTTTAGTTTTCCCTACTTTGTTAAGTTATTTTGTTGTCCTTTTCAGATTGTTTCATGTATTGTGATTAAAATCTATTAGTGTAAGGGAGATTTCATTTTAAACCTTGGTCCACAAATATAGGTAGTCATACATGTGTAACTAAATCTCTTTTTATGTGACAGGTGTTTGTCTTCATACATATCATACATACTAAAAATACCATTTGACTCCCCTCAGTAGACAAAGGTGACAAGCTGTGACAAGCTGTGTTTGATATAGACTAATCCACCTGGCACAAGAGTTACGTGTACTACAAAAGAACACTGTGAAATGTTTTCCTGGTGTCCTTTCTTGCTTTGTTTTGCAGAACATTTTTACAGTTCTTACACATAACATATTACATATACATATATAAAAGGCTCTCAGGTTGAGATGTAATGGTAAATATTTTTAAAAATGAAACAAACAATGTATAATTTTAATTTAGAAAAACAAAACAAAAAACGGGCACAACTTCCCTGAAATTCACGGGGGCTGTAGTTTTAAAACATATAACATTCAAGCTTGAGCAAATGGAGAACATGCTGAGGGTTTATTTTCAGTCAATATTTCTAAGTACTCAAAGCACCTGCAACAGTGCAACAGTGTCTTGTTGAGATGTTTGGAGGACTACGGTTCAGGCAGTAGGCTACTCTACTTCTAGTTTAGGTCTTTTGTTGGGTTTTCTTTTATTAGGAAAGCCTCCTCCTATTATAGGTTTCATGTTGTCATTTCTGCAAAGATATATATTTTTTCCGGATAAAGTATTCAACATGCGCAAAAAAATAAAATAAAAAATACAACAGCAGGATTGTTAAAAAAAAAATCTATCACGTAACCTCTTTTACAGTACCCATGCACGCAAAACATTTTGGCATTTATTTTAATAATACTGGGAGTGTTTGCTTCCTCGTGCTACGGTCACATGGAGGGTAAACGAAGTTGTCAAAGTTGCGCATGTTCAAACCAAATCTCTAAGATGCCTTTAAGGGATACACTTAACGGGGGAGCTGCTATTGAAATAGAGAAAATTAAGCGAAATTGAACTACTGAAAAGCTAAACTTAATACTTTGACTGCATATAAGCACATTTTAATCATCCTAGTGGAAGTAGATATTATATTATTTCTTATATTATTATTTTTATTTGAAGCAGGGGCGCGTCGACGTAACGTTCGCATGTTAAAGTACATCTTCACGAGGTACACACAAACGCAGCACACAACAACCCCAAGTGAGAATTCATTCATCATGGGCTTCATGCTGTCAAGCTAGCCGTTGTATTTACGCGGGACGTGTGTAATAAATAGTAAGTGAACAGTAATGCCATTTGTAGAGCATCGCCAGTATCTGTAAAGCCGCATATCTGCGGCTGGATGATTTCTAAGTTGAGCGACACTTTCTTGCGTGGTGTAATGGGAACTCACGTCTCGTGTTATGGGAGAGACACGGAGGTCAGACGAACGGTGGACTGTCAACAATAATGTCCGAGTAAAACGAGACTGCTGCTGCTTGGCCAGCTGTATGTTAATCTTCTAGCACTGGTAAGGATGCTACAGTCTGCACTGAAGACAACATGCTTATTTTGTAGCTGCATAGGTGGAGGCTTTGCCGTGTGACTGTAAAAACATGGCCGATCAGGTAACTAGAGCTAAAGAGATTCTGACTGCAATGCAGTTAACCTAAGTGGCTTTTCGTGTTAGCCTCGTGTTGCTAACTTAATCTAGCACACTGATAGTTTGTTTTTTGTTTTGTTTTGATAAAGGGCAATCCAGTAGATAACCTCAAACCGAGTGGATCGTCCTTTTTGAAAAACAAGAAATACAAATTCTAGTTTAGCTTTTAGCTAATTAGCTAGTGAGCTTGTAAACAGAGGAAGGGGCTCTGCACGTTATCACCAAAACATGTTTACCGACGCCTCGATGTTTCCTGTTGCTAAGGGCAGTGTTGACAGATTTAATTATATACGTTGACAGATCAGCGTAAAATTGAATCATGCCTGGGAAACTGAAGGCCAAAATTGTGGCAGGGCGCCACTTGCCTGTGATGGACAGAGCCAGTGACCTTACTGATGCTTTCGTAGAGGTAAGAGAAGAATTTATGTACTTAACTTGTTTATAGCAGTGTAGCTGTACATGAACTGTTTGTCCCAATGCTGATAGTCACTTCCCCTCTAAAATGAGCCAAGAAAAGCAATTAGGCATTTAAAAAAGGTGTCTGATTACATTCCAGGTCAAGTTTGGAAACACAACCTTCAAAACAGATGTCTGTCCCAAATCCCTCAATCCACAATGGAACTCGGAGTGGTTCAAATTTGAGGTAAAATGCCTCTCTTTGAACATGAGGGACCGATGTTATTACTACATTAAATTGCAATCAGATTCTGTAGATTTCTAAACTCTCCTCCTCGCTTTTGCCTCTTGTTCCTCTTCATGCCTTGCTGTCTGTAGGTCGATGATGAGGACTTGCAGGATGAGCCATTGCAGATCACAGTATTGGACCACGACACTTACAGTGCTAATGATGCCATAGGGAAAGTTTACATTGACATTGATCCACTGCTTTACAGTGAGGCTGCTTCTGTCATCTCTGGCTGGTTTCCCATCTATGATACCATCCATGGTATAAGAATCAGCTAATCCATCCACAATGATCACTAATTTTATTTTGTTTTCTTCATGGCCTAATCTATATTTCTATTGTTTGTCATCAGGAATTCGAGGGGAAATAAACGTCATTGTTAAAGTGGAGCTCTTCAACGATTTGAACCGTTTCAGACAGTCTTCATGCGGGGTCAAGTTTTTCTGCAGTAAGTTTGGGTCGATTTTTGATTCTAAATGCGTCATAAGACACAATTTTCAGATTTATGTGAGGGAGAGCAGTTAATTAGATGGCATTGTAATCAAGTTTTTTGTGTCATAATGATCTTGCCAACAAAAAAAGGGGTTATTCCTTGATCAGCAAAATTGTAAGCTGTGTCAGTGCCATCAGCACATCTGTAAACAAGGAAATACCACTTAAAACGTGCAATAAAGATGGAATATCAGCTATAACAAACCTTTCTCGTGAAATCTAAGTTCCTTCCCCTCTGTTTCTGTATGGCAGCCACATGTATTCCACAATGCTACAGGGCAACTTTGGTGCACGGCTTTGTTGAGGAACTCGTGGTAAATGAAGATCCAGAGTACCAGTGGATTGACCGTATCAGAACTCCCAGGGCCTCCAATGAAGCACGACAGAGGCTCATCTCTCTCATGTCTGGTAAGGAAATTCAGGTGTGGAGGAATGAGTGCCCCAATTTTCCCTGTTTTGTTAACATGGTTGTGTGTTACCCCCCCGTCCAGGAGAACTACAGAGAAAAATAGGGCTTAAAGTGCTGGAGATGGGTGGGAATGCAGTAGTGGGCTACTTGCAGTGTTTCGACCTGGAAGGAGAGTCGGGCCTGGTGGTCCGGGCCATAGGTACCGCCTGCACGCTGGACAAACTCAGCTCTGGAAGTGCCCCTAACACCAACACACACATGCACCCAAACACAGCTCCTGCTTCCAATGCCTGCAATTCCCCCTCTAAAGATGGAAAGGAGTGAGTATGAACCAACAACACGAGCATGCACACTACTACCTCTTTTATGTGCAAGACTGTGAGTTTTGGGAAAGACGATTGTGTGTGCACGAGAGGGAGAGTGTGTGGATTAAAGCGTGTACTGTATAAAAGTTTATGTGCACACTCCTGTGTGTGTCTCAGTATCTCTTGATTCCCCTTTGCACTTGGTGTGTCCATTGTATCACGTGTAGTGCATCATAAAACTAACAGCACACGACATAACCTGAGACACACACACGTACAGTACACACACAGCCATCCTCAACCCCCTCCTCCTCCCTTGTCTGTGTCTGCTCTTTTAGACTCCTCTTGCATGGCTTTCTGCTCTGCCTCTGCATGTTCTAGTGCTGCATCTTTTTAGTGAGTATCTAGTACACATGTTCTGCTGTGCCTCTAACTATGTGGTTACTCACTTTTTTCTGCTTTTCCCATCATAAGTGATTTGTTTTGTGGTTTACATCCAGTTCCTGTAACCTTAACGACTTGGTGTGCTTGTGTGCCTCTTATTCTCTTCAAACTGTACATCTGTGTGTCGGCGTGTGAGATTTTGTGTAACGGGGATGTAAACATCTGCTGGTGGTGAGATGAAATGTGTGAATTTAATTGGAAAACTTTTTTTTTTTTTCGGTGAGGAGAACAGTCATGAATGTCCACTAAAAATAGGACGAAGTGATGAATCGAAGGAGAGAGAGCGAGCGTAATTATTGTACCGGAGTTAATTTTCTTCTTTCTGTTATGATTGTCTTTCTTCATCTTTCCTTTAAGACTT